GCCATGGGAAGGAGGCACTGAAACAGCCCCACCCAGCCAAATGCCCAGATGAACACAGCCACAGCCCACATCACACGAAACTAAAAACTGGCCCCACAGTCCCCAGTAAACATGTAGAATCATTGGCGATAATAAAATGGGTGTTGCTTTTGACCACCAAGCTTTAGGACAACTAAACAACCACAAATAACCAAAGTGAGGGTCCAGGGGCAACCAAAGCTAACCAAAGACTCTCCTTTGGGCTTTTCCTTCTCCCTACCACCCACTCCCCATGCACTTCTATGGAGATTTTGCAAGTAGTTTCTACATCTTTTTATTTCTTGAGAAAGGAGGGTAGCCTCAAATTCACTATGCAACAAGCGCTTTGAACTTCTGACCTTCTCATCTCTATCTCCTGAATGCTGGGATTACATGTGGACATTGACACACCCTTTTATTCAGTGCTGGGTACAGAAGCCCGGCCCCGGGGTGTGCTAGACAAGCATGCTACTAGCTGAGCCACTCCCCAATCCTGATGCTTGATATCTGTTCTCTGTCTGGCATCAAAGTGAGATGAGCTGGAGGAGGTATTTACTGATATGAAGAACTACAAAACTTATTCAACTCTGTATGAGACTTTTCTTGCTATAAAAGGAAAACTGCAATTAAAAAAATACAAACAAGGATTCCAGCACAAGGGAGGCAGAGGCAGGCAGATCTCTGTGAGTTTGAGGCCAGCCTGGTCTACAAGAGCTAGTTTCAGGACAACTAGGGCTACACAGGAAACCTTATCTCAAAAAAAAACAACCAACCAAGGGCTAGGAGTATAAGGGTAGTTTGTCGCCTATCATATGTTAAGACCGAGTCCATCGGTCTGAACCACAAGACCAAAAATATTAAATTAATATTTTATGTTTTTAATTAAAAACTGTGGTAGGGGGCTGGAGAGATGGCTCAGAGGTTAAGAGCACTGACTGCTCTTCCAGAGGTCCTGAGTTCAATTCCCAGCAACCACATTGTGGCTCACAGCCATCTGTAATGAGATCTGGTGCCCTCTTCTGGTGTGCAGATATACATGGAAGCAGAATGTTGTATACATAATAAAATAAAATCTTAAAAAAAAAAAACCCACTGTGGGAGATTTAGAATAAGTCTGCAAAAAACAAACAAGCAAGCACGGAAAAAAAAAAAACATTGTATTAGTTACTTTCTTCTACTGTGATTAAAACACCACAGCCAAGGCAATTTAAAAACGGGTTTATTTGGGGCTTATAATTCTAGAAGGATGACTCCATCACTGTCCTGATGAGGAAGCATGCACGTAGGCATAGTGACTGGAGATGGAAGCTGAGAGCTGAGGCTGGCATCTTTTTTTGTTTTTTTAAGATTTTTATTTATGATGTATACAACATTCTGCTTCCATGTATATCTGCACACCAGAAGAGGGCACCAGATCTCATTACAGATGGCTGTGAGCCACAAAGTGGTTGCTGGGAATTGAACTCAGGACCTCTGGAAGAGCAGCCAGAGCTCTTAACCTCTGAGCCATCTCTCCAGCCCCCAGAGGCTGGCATCTTGAATTACAAACATGAACAGAAGGGCTAACAGGGAGGGCACATGTCTCTTGACACCCCAAAGCCTGCCCCCAGAGGTCACACTTCCTTCAGCGAGGCTATAGCCCTAAACATATCCAAACAGCACCGCCATCTGGTGACCAAGTGTTCAAATGCCTGAGACCATGGGAGACATCTTCAAATCACCACAGGCATGTATGGAACTAAGGGTATTGAGACCGTTTCTTCTGAAGAGGGAGAAGGCCTTAGTGGCATAGATTCCATTTTCCTTAAAGCCCCTATCTGAATCTGCAGCAAATAGTGTGGACACAGCCATCTAAAAAATGATATTTTAGGGGGCTGGAGAGATGGCTCAGTGGTTAAGAGCACTGGCTGCTCTTCCAGAGGACCAGAGTTCAATTCCCAGCACCCACATGGCAGCTCACAACTTTTTGTAACTCCAAGACCTGACACCTTCACACAGACGTACATGCAGGCAAAACACCAAGGCAATAAAATAAAATTTAAAAATGATGTTTTGCAGAGTTTAAAATGTCCAGCAAAGCACTAAATAATTATAATTATGGAATCACATGTAAATGTTTAAAATGTTAATGCAAATAAGTTAAGAGGTAAGGGAGACATAGAAATACAATCAGAAAGTGTTCATCATCACCAGAAAAAAGAAAAGTTAAAAATCTTAAAAATTGGGGGTGCTGGAGATATGGCTCAGCAGTTAAGAGTATGACTGGTGTTCAATTTCCAGCACCCACATGGCAGCTCACAACTGTCTGTAATTCCAATTCCAGGGGACCTGACACTCTCATACAGACATGCCAGCAAAACACCAATGCACATGAAATAAAATAATTAAAAAACAAAAAACAAAAACAAAAACATTGGCTGAAAAGATGGATCAGTGGTTAAGAACACTGACTGCTCTTGTAGAGGACCCAGGTTCAATTTCCAGCACCCACATGACCGCTAACAACTGTCTATAACTCCAAGATCTGACACCCCCACACAGATGTACATGCAAATAAAATAAAAATAAATATATTATTAAAAACAAAACAAAAAACAAAAAGAAAATCTTAAAAATTGTTCCTGGAAAGTAAGGCTGAGGGCAGGAATAATTCGAACAACTTATCTTTTAAATTTTAGATCTCTGCCCCCCACCCCACCCTGCCCCCAGTCAGAGTTTCTCTGTGTAGCCCTAGCTGTCTTGGAAATCACTCGAACTCACAGAGATCTGCCTGCTTCTAGCTCCTGAGTGCTGGGATTGGTTAAAGGCCACCACAGCCCAGCTAGAACTGTTCCTTATTTTATTAAAACTTTGTAAGAAGAGCCAGGCGGTGATGACACATGCCTTTTATCCCAGCACTTGAGAGGGAGAGGCAGGCAGATCTCTGTGAGTTCCAGGACAGCCAGAGCTACACAGAGAAACCTTTTCTCAAAAACAAAGAAAAAAACTCTGTAGGAAGTTTATACATACACACACAAACAAAAAAGGAAAAATGAAACAAAATACTAAAACTTCCCTTCAACTTTAGAAATAGATGATTTTCCCATTCATTTTATTTTCTTTGATTTTTTTTATCAGTTCCATGTATATGTGTATGCGTGTATATATAATGTATTTGGAGTATCTATAGTTAACTGATGTTGAACAAAGGATCTAAGAATATATATTGGAGAAAGGGTAATCTTTTCTAACAGAAACATGGTTATACATATTCAAAACAATGAAATTAGACTACCTCACACCACGTACAAAATCAACCAAAAAAGACCAAAACTATAGAACTGCTAGGAAAAAAAAATCAGAGGAAATACTTAAAGAAGTTGGTGTTGTCAAAGACTTTTTGTATAAGACCCATGAGCCCAAGCAACAGAAAACAAACTAGACGAGTGGGATTCTGGGAAACCAAGAAGCTTCTGCAAAGGGAATGATCAAGAGAGTGAAGAGAAAGCCCACAAAGTCAGGGAAAAAAAAAGATACTCAGAAAATATGTAAGAAACTCAAAACAACGATAATAGTGACCTAGACATTTCTCAAAAGAAGACTACAAATGTCCAGTAGGAATTGTATTCAAGTACTCAACTTTATCAGGGAACGTAAAACAAACCACAAAGAGATAGCTCACTCCAGTTAAAATGACTCTTCTCAAACAGACAAAAATTTACAAATGTTGGCAAGGACTTATAAAAAGCAAAGATTTATTTTTTGTTTTTACCTTTATTTCTCTCTATTCTGTGTGTGTGTGAGTGTGTGTATGTGAGAGTGTGTGAGAGTGTGTGAGTGTGTGAGAGTGTGTGACAGTGTGCGTGTGACAGAGTGTGTGTGTGACAGAGTGTGCGTGAGTGAGAGAGTGTTGCGTGACAGTGTGTGGTGTGTGTGTGAGAGAGTGTGTGTGAGAGTGTGTGAGAGAGTGTGTAAGTATATGTGAGGGAGTTGTGAGTGTGTGTGACAGAGTGTGTGTGAGAGTGTGTGAGTGTGTGTAAGTGTATTGTGAGAGTGTGTGTGTGAGAGAGAGACAGAGAGACAGTGTGTGTGTGTGTGAGAGAGAGAGACAGAGAGACAGTGTGTGTGTGTGTGTGAGAGAGAGAGAGAGACAGTGTGTATGTGTGAGAGACAGAGTGTGTGTGAGTGTGTGTAAGTGTATGTGAGAGAGTGTGTGTGAGATTGTGTGTGAGAGAGAGAGAGTGTGTGTGTGTGAGAGAGAGTGTGTGACAGTGTGTGTGTGGGTGTGAGAGAGAGAGCGAGGGAGAGAGAGAGCGAGGGAGAGAGAGAGCGAGGGAGAGAGAGAGCGAGGGAGAGAGAGAGAGACAGAGTGTGTGGGAGTGTGGGTAAGTGTATGTGAGTGAGTGGGAGTGGGATGGTGTGTGAGAGAGCGAGAGAGAGAGAGAGAGAGAGAGAGAGAGAGAGAGAGAGAGTGTATTCATGACACAGCCTTCTGGTCTGTGTGTGGAGGTCAAAGGACAACTTTTGGGAATCGGTTCTCTCTCTCCACCAGGCAGTACCTGGGAAACAAAGCCAGGTTGTCAGGCTCGGTGCAAGTTCCTTTACCAGCTGAGTCTGGTCAAGGCCTCTCTGGCCCGAGAAAGGGAACCTTTACTGTACTATTAGAGTGAATGAAAATTATTAAAGCTATTATGGAAACAGTATGGAAGTTCCCCCTTCTAAAACCAAAAACCGCAAACAAACAAACAACCCAAAAATGAAACTGCTGCTGTGTGTTCTCGTCTCAGGCGTTTCGTTTGAAGGCGCAGCACAGAGCCTCTGGCCTGAACGTTTGAAGAGGAAAATTCTGAGTATGAGTCACAGCTAAACCAACAATCCTCTAATTAATTTCAGGTCCTCAGGGCAGGATGTTTCCTTGGTACCAGTCAAGACCAAGAGCTACCAGCAGTAGTGGAAGCTGACAGCACGCACGGCCAGGCTTTGTCACCAGGAGACAATAAATCCTGGCTGCCAGTTACAGAACACCCACCCTTAGGTGTAACATTTGAGATGAGGATGAAGCCACACTGGGTGTGGAGAGGCAGCGGCAGGAGGTGTCTACTCCACAGTCCCTGGCCCCCTGCAATGTGAAGTCAGAAGGATGATTTAGGTTAGTTTCAATTTTTCACCTGTCGCTCACGTCTTATCTGATATTTACTTGCTATCTTCAAGTTGTCCTTCCTTCCTTCCTTCCTTCCTTCCTTCCTCCTTTCCTTCCTCCTTTCCTTCCTCTCTTTCCTTCCTTCCTTCCTTCCTTCCTCTCGCCCTCCCTTCTTTCTTTCCTCTTTTCTTCTGATCCTCATTCATCTACTTTGATTTAAAATTAATTAAAATAAAAACACTCACCTGTATCTGTTTCATTACATTAACAATAAGAATACATTAACAACGTAATGCTGCATTGTCAATTACACTGTCTTAGTTAGGGTTTTTATTGCTGCCATGAAACACCATGACCACAGAGCAAGATGGGAAGGAAAGGGTTTATTAGGCTTACCCTTCAGCACTGCTGTTCCTCTCTGAAGGAAGTCAGAACAGGAACTCAAACAGGACAGGATCCTGGAGGCAGGAGCTGATGTAGAGTCCATGGTGCCCTGGCTTCCCATGGCTTGCTCAGCCCACCTTCTTATAGAACCCAGGACCACCTGTCCAGGGATGGAAACACCCACCATGGCCTGGGCCCTCCCACATTGATCACTAATTGAGAAAATGTCTTACAGCTGGGTCTCATGGAGTCATTTCCTCAGCTGAGGCTCCTTCTTCTGAAGACTCTTGCATGTGTATAGTTGACACACAAAACTGCCCAGTACCATCGTTAAGTATTTTTATTTCCTTCATTTCAGGTAGAATGATAACTCTCCAACCATCTTTTGTTTTATATCAAAAGTTATAAGATAATTCAACATTGGAAAGTCTGATAGGTCTCTGGCTAACTTTTATAAAAAAACTATGAGATAATTCAATATTAGGATATCTGTTACTGGTATAATATAGTAATAGCCAACAAGTTTATTTTTTTAAGGTAACACATCTAAGATAACATTCAGTACAACTTAGATTTTAAGTATTAGGAAAGTAGTAAAAGAAAGTACTTTTAATCTTTTTTGTTACTGTTGTTATTTAATTTTAATGATGTCCCTACAGGAGCCTTATCTCTGCATTGTTTTTTTCTTTTTTTCTTTTTTTTTTTTGAGACAGGGTTTCTCTATGGCTTTGGAGGCTGTCCTGGAACTAGCTCTTGTAGACCAGGCTGGTCTTGAACTCACAGAGATCTCCCGAGTGCTGGTACTAAAGGCATGTGCCACCACTGCCCAGCTTTATCTTTGCATTAGGAGTTTAGAGTCTACACTTACATTGAATAGAGTAAGCTTCCTCTATTATTTTATTTTAGTGCACACACCCCTCAGAATCATTTATCCCAAGACCTTGGACACCACAAGTATAGCTGCTCCAATCACTTCTGTGAGATGATGATGTTGAAACTTGACAATTAACTTGATGGGATTGATAGCTCCTGGAGTGGAGGGGTCAATAAAATGCCTCTCTGGGTGTGTCTATGAGGGCATTTCAAGAGGTTAACCAAAGGGAGGCCTGCCCCGGGCATGGACAGCACATTATCCTGCGAGCCTGGATGGAATAGATGGAGAGAAGCAAACACTAAAAACAAAATCCCTGCTGGTGCAGATTCCCAACCACCATGACAGGAACAGCTCTACCCCACCCTGTTCTCTTAGCCATGATCAGAGGGAAACCCTGGGAACTCTAGAGACATGAGGCAAAATCTTCTGTCATTAGTTATTTTGCTTAGACATTTCATCACACAGACAAACACACATCCTTCAGAATTTTAAAATATTTTTATTTTTTGGAAGACAAGAGTCTTACTATGTAGACATGCCTGGCCTCAAACTCCCAGAGATCTGCCTCCTAAATTTTGGGGTCAAAGGCATGTGACACCATGCCTGACTACTGCTCCATTTTTATTGTTTGGTAATGCTTAAATTATCTTAAACTTGTTCATTCAAAGACTATTCTTATAGACCCCTGATTTTTACTTGTCCTGTGTGTTTTCTGTTGTTATTTTTAAAGAATTTGGCATTTACTTTAAAACATTTTTATATTTATTTTGTGTGTTGGGGGAGATGTTCATGCCACAGAAAACACGGATGCATAAAAGGGATCAGTCTTCTTCTTCTACCACATGGATTCTTGGGCTTGAACTCAGGCCATCAGGTGTAGCAGCAAACACCTCCACCCACTGAACCATCTCACTGATGTGCTCATGTGTGTTTGAATATTTTCAACCTCCTGGGATAAGAATGATTCAGGCCTACTTCTAACCTAAAACTAGTTATTTGCTCAGGGAACCCTAATTGTTTTTTGGCAAAGACGGCACTTAAATTAATGTGTTTAATCGAAGAGTATTTTATGTTCATAAACTAGTACTTTCATTGTGGTGCATGCGTTTAATCTCAGCACTTCAAAGGCAGAGGCAGGTAGATCTCTGTGAGCTCAATGAGGCTAGTCTACAGAGTGAGTTACAAGACTGTCAGAGTTACACACACACACACACACACACACACACACACACAAACACACACACACAGACACCCACCCACAGACACACACACAGACACACACACAGACAGACACACACACACACACACACACACACACACACAAACACACACACACAGACACCCACCCACAGACACACACACAGACACACACACAGACAGACACACACACACACACACACACACACACACACAAACACACACACACAGACACCCACCCACAGACACACACACAGACACACACACAGACAGACACACACACACACACACACACACACACACACAAACACACACACACAGACACCCACCCACAGACACACACACAGACACACACACAGACAGACACACACACACACACACACACACACACACACAAACACACACACACAGACACCCACCCACAGACACACACACAGACACACACACAGACAGACACACACACACACACACACACACACACACACAAACACACACACACAGACACCCACCCACAGACACACACACAGACACACACACAGACAGACACACACACACACACACACACACACACACACAAACACACACACACAGACACCCACCCACAGACACACACACAGACACACACACAGACAGACACACACACACACACACACACACACACACACAAACACACACACACAGACACCCACCCACAGACACACACACAGACACACACACAGACAGACACACACACACACACACACACACACACACACAAACACACACACACAGACACCCACCCACAGACACACACACAGACACACACACAGACAGACACACACACACACACACACACACACACACACAAACACACACACACAGACACCCACCCACAGACACACACACAGACACACACACAGACACACACACACACAGACACACACCAAAGCAAAAAAAAAAAAAAACAAACCATTTTTGAATAATGATTTGTGACAATTTATCCCATCTACCCCACTATCTACCATTTCAATGATGATATATTCTTGTTAATTATAGGAATAATTTCAGTTCATTTAAAAATTATCATCAGTTATATGTTATCCTTAAAATAATCTATGTACTTTTTATAAAGCATTGGTTCACTGGACTTAAAATTGATTCAGCGTAATGAGATATAGTAGATGTGCTAAAAGAAATAATTGGTTTTCAAAACAATCTTAGTACATGCCTTTAACATTTCCTTCTCAGTCAGTTCATGATTTTAGAGCCAAGCATGGTGGTGAATGCCAATAATCTCAGCATTTAGAAGGCCCACAGAGGAAGGAAGGCCAGAAATCCAGCATGGCTACATAACAAGTTTAAGGTTGGCTTGGGGTACATGAGACCTTCTTTCAAAACAAAATCAAGACAGGTTTGGTGGTTGAGAGCACAGACTCTTCTTCCACAGGACAGGGGTTCAGCCCTCAGCCCCCACTTCAGGTGACTCAAAATTGCCTGTAATTCTAGTTCCAGGACATCTAAGATCTCTACAGCTGCTGGCACTCCTGTGCACACAAAGGGTGTGTGTGTGTGGGGGGGGTAAGACACATAATAAAAACAAAACACAATGGCTGGAGGGTGAGAGCACACGCACACACAATTAAAACACCACCACCTTCTTCCTCTCGTGTTGAAGTGAGTGGCAGTGACCTCTACTGGAATCTTGTTGTTTATCTAACTGAATGATTCACTGACTGTGACACACAAGATAATTATTTCTGTTGCACTGTGGTTTCATGTCTCATGTAGTGACAGCTTTGTGCAACTCATGGGAAATGCTTCCTAAGTTCTGAGTCACAGAAGCTGTTGTGTAAACTCTTTTTTTTTTTTAAATTTTCATGTTCTGTTTAGACATTTAACAATAATATTTCAGAAATTTGGTCATTTGCTTCCTTTACACTTGTGAAGAATAGGGGCTGAGAAGGTTTTTATTTCTGTATTTCTTTTTTCTAAAGATTAATTTATTTATTATGTATACAGTATTCTGCCTGCAGGCCAGAAGAGGGCACCAGATCTCATTACAGATGGGTTGTGAGCCACCATGTGGTTGCTGGTATTTCTCCACAAGCCCTCGGGAAGAGCTGCCAGTGCTCTTAACCTCTGAGCCACCTCTCCAGCCCCCTATTTCTTTTTTCTTAATGTAGCCACGGCTGGTCTTGAGCTCCTGATATTCCTGCCTCCACCTCCAGAATGCTTGGATTTCAGGTATGTACCACCAAACTATTTTTTTTTTTTTGATTCCTTAACACACAGAGATATTAGAAGACTATTGAAAAAAAAAAACTGTTATCAAGATTAATAACACTTGTTGAAGACATAATATGGGTCAATTTTTTATGTTAAGCCCCGGAACATTTATCTTGGGCACAGACGTTTGTAAATCTAGAACCCTTATCCACTTAAATTTTGAATATTTGTTTGCTTTTGATGTAGAGACAGAGGATATTTGAACGTGGGAGCTCATCACGGCTGCTAGTATGTGCTCTGTCCCTGAAGTGAACCTCAGGCCTGTGTGTATATTCTTACGTGTGATTGTGTGTGCTAAATATACTTAACAAGTTTCCATTTTCAACACGCATGTCTAGGTGTAAGGGTTCATTGTCATTAAACATTTGTCCACTGTTGTGCAATAGGAGGGTGGGCTGTAGGTTTGTGGCCTTTTCTTGTTGAGGCTTCTTTTGCGCTTGAGTCATTTCAAGCAGAGGACGATGCTTTCAATATGGAGCAGAAATATCTAACAAGATATAAAGTGTTCTGTCTTGCCAGGCATGTGGCTCATGCTTGTAATGCTATAACTTAGGAAGCACAGGCTGGAGGAATGACACAAGTCTGAGGCCAGGTTGGTTCACAGAGTGAGTTCAAGGCCACCCAGGGATATACAGCAAACAAACAAACAAAAACATATAATATGTCTTCTTGGACAGTAGGCACTGTTCTTGAGAGAAGAGATGTTACAAATATGAACTTGATAGAGAAGCTACTTTTTATCATAATGTCACACAAAAATAGATGGCTAAGGCTTTTTATAAGTAGGGGTCACAGAGTTGACTCAGAGGTTGAGAGTGCTGACTTCTGTCCCAGAGGACTCAACTGCTTGTGACCTCAGCTCCACAGAATTCAACATCTGCTTCCAGCTTCCATAGGAACTGGTATACACATAGCATAAATTAAAATAAAAATATTTATATTTTTTAATTGAAAAATTTTAAATTTATGGGCTGGAAAGATAGCGCAGAGGTAAAGAGCATTGGCTGTTCTTCAAGAGGTCCTGTGTTCAATTCCCAGCAACCACATGGTGGCTCACAACCATCTCTAATGAGATCTGGTGCCCTCTCCTGGTGTGCAGGGAGAAGACTGTATACATAGTAAATAAGTCTTCTAAAAAATTTAAAACTTATGTGTGTAGGTGTTTTGTCTATGTATGTTCTGAATATATACATCATGTATGTGTCTGGTGCCTGCAGAGGCCTGTGGGTTCTCTGTGAGTTTTACTAAGTTCTAGGCTAGCCTGGTCTACATACTAAGTTCTAGGCCAGCCTGGTCTACATGCTAAGTTCTAGGCCAGCCTGGTCTACATGCTAAGTTCTAGGCCAGTCTGGTCTACATATTAAATTCTAGGCCAGCCAGAATACATAGGGAGACCCTATCTCAACAACAACAACAAAACAAAACAAAAAAATAAACAAAAACCTAACAACTGCAGCCAGAGTTCTCAGCCTAGGCCTCCGTCCTCACCTACCATTTGCTGCTGTGTGGCTTTGGACGAGTTAAACTTGTGCTTGGTTTCCTTACGAAAAATAGTGGTTATGCCTACACTCAGTGGAGCATGGTCAAACTCCCAGTGGCCTTCGCCTTAAACAGAACTGAGGTCTTCCCCTCCCACACCCCACCAGGCGCCATCAATTGTAGAGAGCTAACTTCCGCATCCTTGTCACACATTTTCTCTCTGATGGCTTCCTGCTGAAGGGAACAGCTTCCCTTTTGGCAGCCATAACGGCCGAACACGTGCTCTATGACCTTGTCTTAGTCACTAGAAAGTCAGATGCCTGTCTTGTGACAAGGAACCAATCAGAAGTTAGTCAACTAGAAGGTCAGATCCCTGCCTCGTGACAAGGAGCCAATCAGAAGTTAGCTGGTGGCGTTATGCTTTACAACCCTGGGTGTGCTTTACGGACAAGCGCACAGCAATGACGCACAGAGCATAGCAACCACCCTGGGAGGGCCTATGAGCCATAACAACCAGTTGTCCAATCAACACAGGGCAAGCCCTCCAAGCCTGGAGGCACACCAATCGTGAGCCTGTGCGTACCCCTAGACACTCCCCTTACGCTGTCCTATAAGATCTCTCGGGAGGCCCTAGGAGCTGTCTTTTCTAGCTATCCGCCATGGCGGGTGGGTGAAAGACCCGAGCTAACATGGGGTTAGCTTGTTAAAAAACAATAAAGCCTTGTGCAGTTTGCAGCAAGCTCTTGAATCTGCCTGGTGATTGGGGTGACCGCGGTCATGGCCTGGGACCCCGGATACCTGAGTTTTCTGGAGGTCTAACACTGCTTAGGCAGTTATGGGGGGAGGTGAGGGGGGTAGGGGTTGTCACAACACTTTTCCATGTCCCTCTTTCTCAAATGTGGGTCTGCACTGATTGAGATCATGCAAAAGCAGCCTACTTGCTCTTCACAGTCATCGGAAACACGGACCATGGGCTTCCTCGTGGTTTCTGGCTACAGCACAGACCACAAGCATGGTCCCTGGCTAAAGTAGGACCACACATCCAGACAAGGCCCTCGGAAGCAGCCTGGACCATGGGCATCAACATGGCCTCACATGGCAGCACAGGAAACTCATATCAACATGGCCCCTGGAGATAAAAGCCAGTTTTTACATGGGCTTAGTGGAGTGGTATTCCAATGTGCCAGACACAAATGTGAAATTAGCAATTGACTTTAGAAAACAATTTAAGGAAGGGAATTAAAAGTCATAAAAATGTTAACACAGTTTATTTCAATAATCTGCAAGAAGAATAGAGAACTATAGTTAGTAAAGGTGACAGCTTTGGAATGTCACTCATTATGAGAAAACAAAAATGTTAACAGTATATTAGAAGAGAAAATTTAAATCATGATTTGAATAGCTTAATTTTAAAACATTTTACTTATTTAAATTTATGTGTATGTGTATGTCTTTGAGAGTTTATGTGACCCCTGTGTGTGGCATCACATCCCTTGGAACTGGAGTTACAGGTGGTTGTGAGTGCTGCAACTGGACCTGGGTTTCTGTAATAGCTATGAGCGTTCTTAACCACTGAGCCATCTCTCTAGACCCTTAAAATTTTTTTTAAAGATTTATATGATTTAGACGCTTAGCATTTTGTAGCAATGAGGACATTCAGACTAATACCTGTGGTAGCAGAATCTCGCCCTCCTCGTGTTGTATGATTCTATTCATGGGAGATTTCTAGAATGGTAAATTGATGTAGACTTTGGGCAGATTGGTGGTGGCCCAGGGCTTAGAGGAGGAGGAGGCACTGGAGGATAATTGCTTGATGGATTTGGAGTCCTTTGTAAGTAACAAAGATGTTTTGAAGTGTTTAAAATGGTAGCTATTAGACTAGTGAGACGTTCAGCAGATAAAGGTGGAGTTACTGCTAAATACCTTCACAAGGGGCAGGTCAAGCTGATGGCTCTGGTGATTCTCAGTTGTCTTTGGCTCAAAATAATCCTTTTGCTAAAGTAGCATATTTGGGAGTTGCATAATGAGACTCATTCTGAGGTTGATTTACAATGAGATATTAATATTATTTACAGGTAGTAAGGCTTTTGTTACAACCAAGCTATCTCTTCTTCTATTTATTTATTTGCTTGTTTATTTATTGGTTCTCAAGACAGGGTCTCACTATGTAGCCCTGGCTGTCCTGGACCTCAGTATGTAGACCAGGCTGGCTTGGAACTCACAGAGATTAACCTGCTTCTGCTACCTGAGAGCTGTATTAAAGGCCTGCACCATGCCTGACTCCCTACCTCATTTTCCATTTAAAAGCACCAAATCTCTAAATCCAATGGACCCTAAATCCCCTGAAGTATTTCTCCAGACAGAGACTGCAATTAGAAATGTAAATAAGGAACAAGCACTAGAAAGAAATGCTAACCTAATCCATCTGGCTCTGTCAGGTTCTGTCCAGTGATGTGACACAGCTTCCAGAACGTTCCTCACAGCAGGTGCCCTGAAAGCCCAGACCCAGCCGGCAGGTCACTTGCTGAGCTGCTACTTGAACATCCAGAGGCATCATTCAGAGTGAAGAGAGAGGCTGTTTCTTCAAAGGCAGGCGTGCTGGACGGAAGAAAACCACTGTGTCCACGATCGTGTCCAAATAAACAGAGTTAATGTAATGAAGAAGTTCCTTCGGAGCTCTGGGTCAGATCTTCTCACTGGTAAAAGGACAATTAAAAGCCTACACTCACTTTATGGAGCCCAGGTCCTAGTTAGCCTCCCAGAAACCTACATACTTAACGTTTTATTCCACAAAGTGTCCTAACTGATACAGTGGGAGAGGCATAAAAATTTAGTGTTTGTTATTTGGAACCCCCAATGACAAAATCATGTTAATGCAACCTTTTACAGAGAGAACTCAAGAGGGGAATCATCAGGTAACCCCAACGGCCTGGAAGCCAAGGAAGGCAGTGTACAGCCTGTGCCGTGGATGGATGGAGAGGAGACAAGATGCCGCGGCCATAGAGAACTGCCCCGTGTGGACAGCACTGCCCGGTGGACTAGGAATTGCCATGGAATTGGAAAGCAGAAGGGGGAGGTCTGTGTTGTCTGTGGATCTTCCGTCTAGAGTGGCCCTGGGCCCAAGCTGAATCCCCCAGCTTGAAAAGGCCAGTGTGAGTCATCAGTCCCACCCATACTTTGCCTTTTGAGGTGCTGGGGCAAGCAGGGGCAGAGAGCGTCTGCACTCTGTACAGACTAAGGAGGCAGGCAGCAACAGGAACACTCCTACAAATGAGCTTAATAGCAGTGCGTGGGCCCACACCTGTAATCCCAGCCATCAGAAAGCAGAAGCAGAATTGGGAGCTCCAGGCCAGCCTGAACGACACAAAAAGACCATCTCAAAACAAATGAACAAAGAAACAAAATCAAGAGGAGTTTAGTTTTGTGTCCCCAGAGAAGATTCAGAGCTGAAGAAAGACCTAGACATAGACAGTCAGAGGGGCTTGTTCTCTAGCTAAACCCCAGATAAGACCTGAGATTCCTGATAGTTGATCCTAAGAGTGTATTGACTCAGTGACTGTTGATATATTAGAACCCTAGTCCGAATTCAAAGTCATATAGAAACTGAAACTTAAAAGAATCTTCTGCCGGGCATTGGTGGTGCACGCGTTTAATCCCAGCACTCGGGAGGCAGAGGCAGGTGGATCTCTGTGAGTTTGAAACCAGCCTGGTCTACAAGAGCTAGTTCTAGGACAGGCTTCAACGCCACAGAGAAACCCTATCTCGAAAAACCACAAGAAAAGAAAAAAATTTAAATAAATAAAAGAATCTTCTAGAACTTTGACATCTAAAAATGGGTCCAACCTCAGGTAAATTTGGATGTTGTGCGTTGAGTATGGCAGTGTACATCTGTAATCTTGGCCCTTGGAAGGCTGACTCAGGAAGACAAGGAATACATGAGATCCATGAAACCCTGCCCTTCTAATACCTCCTTTGTAACTCTCCGAACCTAGGAGTGATGTGTGTTTGGACTTCATGGAATGGCTTGCAAGACCACAGATACGAAAAGTTCCATTCTGCAAGCTAGTAGTGTGACTCAAGCTAAGAAGTGGGAAGCCTCAACCAAAGAGGCAAGGATACAGCCCACAGGCAGAAGCCAAAGACCTAAAGCATCAATGGGCACTGGTGGGAATCTCAGAGCATAAAGACTCCAAGGAACCTGGCTTCTGAAGACGGAGAGCAGACAATGGCTAACTCAGACAATTGCTTCTTCTTCCTGGGCCCAGCCCTGTCCACACAGGGAGCAGTTCTTTTCCACTCGGTTGGCTCTGTCTCTGGAAACACTCTCACTGGCATGCCCAGAGGTGCGGTACACACTACCTTCACGCATCACTTGATCGTGTCAACACTGGAATTTTGTTAGCCACTCCGCTGCCAAATTAGCCACCACACAACTGAAACAACATAAACCCAATTCAGACCAGCAAATGTATCTTCAACCAAGTGAGCTCAGCAAATATTTCTTCCTTTCCACCCTCTGCACAGGCATGGGAGGATTACAGCTTTCCATTCCCACTGACATTTTGTTGACTAAATGACTTACTTTGCTTCTCCTAATGTAGACGATACAACAGAAGCTTGACATGAGTGAGCCAAGTCCCTAGTTAACCTTTCTTGAATGCATAGCAAGAAACAAACCTTCAAGGCATATGCCACTATTCATCTCCACACTCTATTATTTTATCCCTACAGAACCCGGTGAGGTGGGTATTATTTCCACAGTCACAAAACAAGGAAATCATGCTTTGTTTGTGGCTAACAAAATTCCAGAACCACTCCACATGTAAGTAGGGAGCAACACCAGGTTAAAAAACAGTATGAAAAGAGAATGTAAAATATCTCATTAGTAACTTATGTTGGACACCAGGGTATAGCATGTGCTGACACACACAAGGCACCGAGTTTAGTCCCTAGTACAATGAAAAGAGCGAGTACTGGAGCTTAATTGCCCACACCTGCATCAAGAGGCGCACAAACCCTTGTAACGCAAGCACCAGGGGACTCAGTGCTCTCTTCCAGCCTCCTCTGGCACTGCCTTCAGGTACACAACCCCTCACCCCCTGCCACATATACACATAATTAAAACTAAAAAGTCAAGGGTGGTAACTCACGCCTTTAATCCCAGCACTCAGAAGGTGGAGGCAGGTGGATCTTTGTGAATTGGAGGCCAGCTTGGTGTAAACAGTAAATTCTAGGCCAGCCAGAGCTATATTGTAACAACGCCTCTTAAAGAAAAAATAAATAAAAACTTCAGAATTTAAGTCTTTAAGTGTATAGTCATTATGTGATGAAATGATATTCTAGACACATTGGGTTAGATACAATGTCATTTCAACATTAATTTCACTGCTGGGTGGAGGTGGTGCATGCTTTTTTTTTTTCTTTTAAAGACTTTATTTATTTATTATGTGTAAAACACAAAGCTGCCATGCATATCTGCACCCCAGAAGAGGGCACCGAATCTCATAACGGATGGTTGTGAGCCACCATGTGGTTGCTGGGAATTGAACTCAGGACCTCTGGAATAGCAGTCGGTGCTCTTAGCCGCTAAGCCATCTCTCCAGCCCGGTGCATGCTTTTAATCCCAGCACTCAGGAGGCAGAGGCAGGTGGATCTCTGTGAGTTCGAGGCCAGCCTGGCCTAAAGAGAGAGTTCCAGGACAGGCTCCAAAGTCATAGAGAAACCCTGTCTCGAAAAACAAAACAAAACAAAACAAACAAACAAACAATTCACCTGCTCTTTCTTACTTTTAAAACTAGAACTACTAAATATATACAGTTAGGAGTTGGCTTTGCATTCCTAAGCTGTGCTGCATTCTCATTGGCTGGCACTGGTTTATAGGTTACACGCTGAGAAGGCAGGGGCCAGTTCTCGTGAGTTTAAATGCATATTTCTGTAACAAATGACTCTTTCCCCCCAGAGAGGCCATTGACCCAGGAAAGGCACCGTGGCTGCCCACACATCTGCACATCTGCTAAATTCATGGATTCACACACAGACATTTTTGTACTGTCACTGTACCCGAAGCTCTGTAGGAGGGGCTGTGAGTTTTGCTTTGCTTGGAACCTGGGGTCCAGCTGAGGCAAAAGTTTTGTGCTTAGGGAAGTTGAGCAACAGCCAAGTTTGGGAGTGATACTCACAAGAGATACTCACAAGAATGAAGCTCAGAAAGGAGAAATATGGACTGAGTCAGGGGCGTTTTTAAAAAAAGGCTATCAAAGAGTGCTAGGTGGAACTTTATTTATTTATGTTTTGTTTTTGATTTTTTGAACAGGGTTTCTCTGTGTAGCTTTGGAGCCTGTCCAGCACGAGGCCAAACTTGAAAATGCAGATTGCACTGAAGCTTTGCTGAACAGTTGCAACCCACGAAAACTCAGCAAGTGTGTGTCAACTCATTTCTAATCTACTCACTGAAAGTCAGAAAAGTCCCTTTTAGATGTGAGAACTCAGCAAGATGCTAAGGGACTCTGTCTCCTTCTGTCCCAACCAGACATTGAAATACAGTGACACACCTCACAGCAGCACTTTGGTCAAGGATGGGCTGCTTGTGACATGGAGATCCTGCAATGTGTTGATTGGTGACTTTGAAAAACAACGGTTTGTGTAAGCGTGTGCTCCATGATGCTTACACGGTGACAAAGTCACCTAGTGAGGTATTTCTCAGAACAGATCCCTTTTGTTAAGCCATGCATAACTGCCATCAATGCCATATCTCGTAAGTGAAAATAACCATGCAATTCTTGTTTCATTCTCCAGTGATTAACTGCCAATGGTTAAATTGAAATGTAAGATGTGGGCCCTTTATCACACTTTCATGTCCTGTGAGTCAATGTTTGTGCCAAAGTCTGTGAGTGTTACATCTTCGTGTGTGTGTGTGTGTGTGTGTGTGTGTGTGTGTATGTTGGTGAGCCTATATGCATGCATGTGTGTGTATGTGTTGGTGAGCATGTATGCATGCATATCTGTGCGTATCTGTGTGTGCATGCATGTGTGTGGACGTGTATATGTGTCTGCATGTTTACGCATGAATGTGTCATGTCGGAGGCCAGCCTCAGGAGTCATTCCTCAGGAGACGTCTATCTTGTTTCCTGAGACCAGGTCTCTTACTAGGACCTGATGTTCCCCGACTAAGGTAGGCTGTCTGACTAGCATACCCCAGAAATGTCTCTACCTCCCCAGTATTGGGATTACAAGTGTCTGCCACCATATCTGTTTTGTTTTGTTTTTTATGTGGGTGGTGTGGATTGAACTCCGGCCCTCACAATTCCTCAACAAATACTTTGCCAACGGAGTTATCTCCCCGGACAATTTTCATATCTATCAATGACATTTAATGCATGATGAGCTATGTAAATCCCCTCGGTCAGCGCTCTCCACCATGTGGTCTGCAGTCAAGTCACATGATACCAGGGCTGTTGTCAATGCAAACAATGTGTTCCAACCAGAACTCCGGTGAGAGTGGCCTGAGAGCCGAACTTCTTACCAGATGGTTTCTATGCACCTTAATGCTGGAGAAAGGTGAGGTCCAGAAATATTTGAAGAGGCTTCTATTAGTCAAGAGGAGTGGGGAGAGTTACTCATCGTCCCCTGGTGCCAAGAAATCTGCAATTCCTAAAGCTATGGGCTAATGCATCTTGTGTTAGTAACCTGGTACAGAAAACCCTCCACCCACAGTGCCAGGAACACAAGACTTGGCATCTTCTAAGTCAGACACAGTCGGGATTTCAAGTTACACAGGGCTTCGTATTTCCTGTGTTAGCCATCTCTCGGGATTCACCCGGGAATGGCTTCAGGTCCCCTACAGGCACCCACATCTGAGGATGGTCAAGTAGCTTATAAAACAGCATTTTATTTGCATGTAGTTCTTCAGTTCTCCCTGCTTAAATAACACAGATTACTTAGAATACTGAATGCAAGATCAATGCTATGTAAATAATTACTATACTGTATTGCTCAAGGAATAATGACCCCCCATCAAAGTTCATAAATATTCAATGGAATCTCATTTTTACCCACAAATATTTTCAATCCACAGTTGGTTAAATGCAGAGAGCATCTTTTCCTTCTTCAAGATTGGTGAGCATGTCTGACAATTTTCTTTCTTTGTTTGTTTCTTTCTTCCTTCTTTCCTTCCTTCCTTCTTTTCTTTCTTTCTTTCTTTCTTTCTTTCTTTCTTCTTCCTTCCTTCCTTCCTTTCTTTTCTTTAGACAGGTCTTACATAAATAACCCAGGCTGGTTTCAAACTTCCCACTGTAGCTGAGGATGGTTCTGGACTTCAGATCTTTTTGCTTTCTCCTCCTTAATGCTAGGATTAAAGTCAACTACCAGAACCTGTTTGTGCCAGGCAAACACTACTGACTGAGCCATATCCCAGCTCCAAAATTTTTTCCTAATTGCGTAAAAGAAACCGCTGTTTGCAGGAAATTACTGAACAAATGGCTCAGAAAAATGACACTGGTCAAGGTTCATTTGTCCCTGGTGAGAACAGAACAGCCTGGTAGACATTGGTTTGACTTTTTACTCTCTATACCATAAACCAGAGATCTTTCAGGTGTCAAATCTCTTTGGGAGTCCACAGATTGATTGGTTTTCCACATCTGAAAAATAACATTAAAATCAAGCTTCATTCAGAAAGCCTGTGAGCTGAGAAGATACTGACAGAATCCTAGAGATGTGTTCTACATCTTATTCCAGCCAGCAGATTACAGGGAGAAACTCGGAAGGGTTAGGAGACAACACCAGTCTATCATTCCAGAGCTCTGTCCTGCCCCTCTGGTCAGGGTGGTGAGCCATATTCCTGAGATTCGTGGCTTCTGCGATCCTCTCTCTGCCAGCTTTTTGCTCTTCCCTGGTTCTGTGGGAGTTTGGGCTAGTTTCTGCTGGTATCAACCTTGTTGTCTTAGACAAACCATGACCCAAAAGCCAGTTGAGGAGGAAAGGGTTTATTTTGCTCACACTTCTACATTGCTGTTCTTTACTGAAGGAAGTCAGCACAGGAACTCAAGCAGGGCAGGAACCTGGAGGCAGGGCTGATGCAGAGGCCATGGAGGGTGCTGCTTACTGGTTTACTTCACATAGCTTATTCAGCCTGCTTTTTTTTTTTTTCCATTTTTTAAATTTAAATTAGAAACAAGATTGTTTTACATGTCAATCCCAGTTCCCTCTCCTTCCCCTCCTCCCCTGCCCCCCACTAACACCCTACCTATCCCATCCCCTTTCTGCTCCCCAGGGAGGGTGAGGCCTTCCATGGGGATCTTCAGAGTCTGTTATTAGCCTGCTTTCTTATAGAACCCGGGGCCAGCAAACAGCCCAGGACTGGGCCCTCTTAATCTTTCCCAGTCTACCAATTGTTGACTGAGCCTACGGGTACAGGGACCATTCTCATTCAAGCCACCACAATGTTCATGAGTGTCTGAGTGTGCACTACATGTGGGCAAGTGCCCTCGGAGGCCAGAAGAGGGTGTTAGATCCCTTGCCACAGGTGGTTGTGACATGGGTCCCCTGGAAGAGGAAGAGGTGCCCTTAACTGCTGAGTCATCTTGCCAGATCTCATATACCTTTTATATGCCCATATGCCCAGAGTTGCATAAAATGTGCAAAAAGGCCACTAGTGGAAAAAGTTTCAGAAGTTGTGATACAAACTACTTACTGTCTTGTATGTTTATTTTGTATTCTGTAACCTTACTGCATTAATTTATCAGCTCTAATAGTGTTTTGTTGTTGTTTGTTTTGGGAAGGGGGAGCTGAGGAAGCCCTGTATGCATAAAGCATAGAGAAAGTCTTGAGCTAATGTGAATTGTAGTGGTAGTGCCACCATGTCAAAGAACCCAATGCCTCAGTTCCAAGGGAATGGACAAAACTCCCTCCACCCCCCCTCCACCCCGTGAGGCTCAGAGGGAGGTAAATCCTTCCTCTGGTCTGACTGTGAATGTTGGCAACGTGTGCAAGCATAGTGTTTATGAATGAGTGACTAGTGTGTGCAAAACCCACCAACCACAGCTTCCTCCTCCCCGATGCTTACAGCCTGCAGAGACCCTCAGCTGACCCTAGCTGACTCCTCCCCCTGTGCTACGCTCTGAGCTTCAAGATTGTTGGCATAGGGGTCTGGAGAGATGGCTCAGAGGTTAAGAGCACTGACTGCTCTTCCAGAGGTCCTGAGTTCAATTGCCAGACACCACATGGTGGCTCACAACCATTTGTAATGAGATCTTGTGCCCTCTTCTGGCCTTCAGGCATACACGCAGGCAGAGCATTGTATGCATAAAAAAAAAAAAAGATTATTGGTGTAGTTGGTTCAGCTTCGTCAGAGCACGCACAATCTACCCGACCCCAGCTCTTCTGTCCATGTGTCTGTGTATCCGTCCTTTCTTCATTCCCTCAGTGCTCCAAGACAGGTTTCTGGGACACAAACCCCTCGGGTTGTAATAGGGGATGGTTTTTGATTTTCCTCTCTATAAAATCTTGTTGTCTACAAACAGGATCATTTTGCCGATTCTTTACTTTTTGGATGCCCTTTTTCTGTCATCATTCATTGACTGACTAAACATGGCAACTTTAAGTCAGGGGTGAATGTGAGGAGCCTCCAGAGACTGCTTTTACTGTAAATCGTATTGATAATATTTGGATGGTTTCTTGCAATCAAATCTGACAAAAAATAAATAAATAAAAGGTGTGTGTGTGTGTGTGTGTGTGTGTGTGTGTGTGGTGTGTGGTGTGTGTGTGTGTGTGTGTGTCTAAATCCCAATGCATTTTGCATTTCTTTAAGTTGAGCCCAGAAAGGGAACCTCTTCCTGGGTGCGGCCGTGCACACCTGCAATCCCAGCATTGAGACAAGAAGATGGCAAGTTTGAGGCCAGCCTAGACTACATAGTGAAACTCTTGTGTATGTGAGGCAATGAAGGAGACAGATAGAGGTGAGGAAGAAACCTCTCTCACACCAACCTTCTTGCAAAGATCTGCAGAATGTGAGAATGGACTGAAGAGTAAACAGCAATCTCTCTCCTTTTTGCCCTCTTAGGACGGTCCTGCCACCCTTCCTGGCAACGTTGCAGTATCAAACACTTTGGGAAGTGACAGAGGCCTTCCTTGGCTGCAGTAGCCCTCCGTCCGCATCAGCACCGATGTGGAGGACTCGGGTGAGCAGGACAGGTTTTCCATTGGCTGGGTCCTGCAAGAGGTCAAGGTGCAAGGTTTTACAGACTTTGTCTTGGGTCTCAGGGAGTTGATGAATGAGTCTCCAAATGGAGTCTAGGCAGTGTGGAGATGTGTGCACTTGACAGGAAAAATGTGGAGGGAAAGAAACATGCCCTTTCATTTAACGGCGACGACACTGCTGTGACTTGGTATGTGATAGGTGTAGAGACAGTGCACCACATGACGAAGATTCTAGATTAATTGAAAACTTAAAGGGAATAGGTTTTAAAAGACTATGCAGAACTTCTTAGTGTAGTTATAATAATACAAAGTAGTGCATCGTGTCCATAGATCCTACAGCTAGTCGGGGAATCATGACAGTACATCTTGACGTTTGAGACATCTATTATGAAAATTTAGCACGAAGGATGTGTTTAACAGCAAATACATTTTTTTTTTTCCTGATGGAACCAAAAAGACAAAAAGAAGTCAATATAAATAGAAGTGTGTCATGCCTGTGATAAGGTAGTATGGATGCTGAAGGCTTTGTGTCCTCTCAGAGGCAGATGGGAAGGGAGTGTCTAATGGTAGAAGATGAGAGCAAGGCTGGCTGTTGACTTAGATTAATGGCACCCAACACCCTGAAAGAACTAACAGATGTGATCTCTGTCCAACCAGAGAACCCAGAGAGAAGTGGGAGATGAGCAAACGAGTTCCAGATTTCCCAGCCCAGCATGCAGGTCTGTGCACTGGCTAAGCTCAGTGAAGGGCTTGAATGGAAGATTAAAGGGAATTCTTGTGTGTTTATTCAAGAATGCGGTGACTGTTGGACATTATCACAGATTCCCCAAGTCTGAGCTCATTTTGTAACAGAGCCTTGGTGGAGCAGGCAAATATCATAGTCATTTATCTGGTAACATCCCTGTGAGTGCAGCGCCAGGCCCCTCCTTTTCTAGTGTCTACTCTATGAACTCTAGTTTTAAAGGGGCAGGGGAAGTAAAACTGTCATAACCGAGCAAGCAGCAAGCTGCATTTGCCTAACACACACACACACACACACACACACACACACACACTCACACTCACACTCACACACAAACCTCACCACTACCACTAACTAAAGAGAAAGAGGCCATGAAATTGAAAGAAAACAAGGGGGTGAGGTACATGGGAGGCTTTCGAGGGATAAAAGGGAAGGAGAAAATGATGTAATTATATTCTCAAAAATATTTTTAAAATTATCATAACAGAAACACTTGCTTTTAAAAAACCAGATGACTTTTTAAATGTTTCATCAACAAAATTCAGTGTTTTTTGTTATGTTACATATACAGAAAACTGGAAAGAAATCATTATTATTTCCTTACTCCTTTTTTTTAAATTGGATACATTAAAGTGTGAAACATGCCATTTTAATAGACTTACCTTGATACACACATACACACAAGCACATATATATTTACACACGTGGTGAAATGGATGAGAAATGTCCCCCATAGGCTCTGTGTGTTTGAACATTTTGTCCTCAGTTGGTAGTAACTCTTTGGGGAGGATATGGAACTTTTAGGAGATAGAGACTTCCTGGAGGAAGTGTACCAGCGGGGGTGGGCTTTGAAGGTTTATAACCTCATTTCACTTCCTGTGTGTTGAAACCGTGATGATCTAGCTTCCTGTTCCTGCAGGCCACGCTTCCTTGCCTGTTGCTACATTTCCCCCACCATGACGGATTCTGTCCCTCTGGAACCATTAGCCCCAATATACCCCTTCTTGGTCATAGTATTTTATTTATTTATATCTGTTTATTTACTTGAGACAAATTACCTCTTTGGAGCTCTGGCTGGCTGGAACTTTCTATGTAGACCAGGCTGGCCTCAAATTCACAGAGATCTGCCTGCCTTTGCCTTCTGAGTGCTGGGACTAAAGGCATGCACCACCATGCCTGATCCTGATCATGGTGTCTAACAGAAGAGTAACAAGTACAGGGATCACGTGACATGCTCATCCTGCAGAGCCAGCTTCCCACGTACCCTTTGACCCTGTCATCATTCCCACTGCTGGGTCTCATCCTCCTCGATGGACCACCACTGTGGTCTGTGATGCCACCAGAGGCCATGCTGGTGTCTGTATCCATGCTCGCTGCCCCAGGGAGCCTCCATTTTATTTTGCTTAAACTTAAATTTTAGACTCGATGCCTGAGGGACTTTTCACCCTTTTTCTTTCTATGTCTCCTTTATTTCATTTAGTATAATGTCCAACAGATTTTGTTTGGAAAAATGAAGAATTTTGGGAGTGGATAGAGGTGGCAATTGTAACACAATTGTGAGTATACTTAAAACATGGATAAATGGTTGCTTTGGTTAAGGTTTTCTTTTGCTGTGAAGAGAAACCACAACGACAGCAACTCTTATAAAGAAAACATTTAATTGGGGCGGCTCACTTACATTTCATAGGTTCAGTCCATTGTCATCAGGATGGGGAACATGGCAGCCTGCACGCAGATACGGTGCTGGAGCTGAGGGCTGCATCTTGACTCAGAGGCAGCAGGAAGTTGACTGTCACACAGAGAGAAGCTTGAGAAAAGAGACCCCCCCAAGGCCCGCCCCCACAGTGACGCACTTCCTCCAACAAGGCCACACCTCCTAAGAGAGCCTGGGGTGGTGGAATGCAGCCAGGCTGCCAATCAATGAACAAATATGTGATGGAGAGGTGGGAAAAAATAGAAAAGCGAGCACTGTGGAGAGAGCTGGGACTGGAGCCTGTTGGTGGTGACAGGTGTGAGAGAGGCGCTAAGGTCAACAGCGGGACCATGTCGTTGTCCCATAGGGTCACCTCGTACAATGCAGCAGCCTGGAGCTTACACGGATGAAGACTCAGCTGCTCCCCAACCACAACACACCACCTGGCCAAGGGATGGCCTTGGTTCTGGACAACAATGTTTGAGATTAGGAATGGTTCGCTTTCTGGATTGGACCTCCTCGATGGACCACCACTGTGGTCTGTGATGCCACCAGAGGCCATGCTGGTGTCTGTATCCATGCTCGCTGCCCCAGGCAATGATGAAGCTCGAGATCCGTGTGGACTTTTGAGGTCTGTGCTGCTGACTAAAGCCGTGTGGAGCCCTGTGGGCCACGCTGCTGCTGGGGGCCATATTGATGCATCCTGTGTTGCCATCTGAAGCCACAGTGACTCCAAGTCTGTGCTGCCACCCAGGGCTACATCTGGGTCTGTGGTCCTACTGCAGTCCTGGTCTGTGTTAATGTCCATGTCCCATGTAACCTCCGGAAGGCCGTGTGATGTCTATGGTCTGTGCTGCAGCCTGAAGCCATGTTGATATTCGTGGGCTGTGCCACTGCAGGGCCATATTGACCTGGGTGGATTTCACTGTCACCTGAGGCCATGTTGATGTCCATGGTCTAGGCTGCCTCTGGGAGCCTTGTCTGGGTCTGTGGTCCTACTGCAGCTGGGGGCTGTGTGCATGGTCTGTGCTGTTACCAGAAACCATGTGGAGGCCCATGATCTATGCTCCCTGTGACAGTGGCTACTTTTACTGTCATATGGATGATCTCTGTGTGTTCAAGGTCAACCCAGTCTACATAGAGTCCCAGGACAACCGGGGTTACATACAGAGATCCTATCTCAGCAACACACACCCCCGGCCCCAAACAAACAAAACTCCAGGTTTGGGAAATTTAACAAGAGAAGAGAGAGAAAAAATTCAAGAAAAGCAGGGGTCAGGGTGGGTGGGAATGAAATAGAGATGGCTCAGGAGTTAAGAACACAAAATGCTTTTGAAGAGGGCCCAAGTTTGGTTCCCAGCACCCACATCAGGCTGCTCACAACAGCCTGTAACTCCAGCTCTGGGAGATCCTATGCAACTGACATCTAAGGGCACATTGGACTCTCACACGTACCGCCCTCTCTGCAAACACACATGCATGCTCACACACACATACACACACACACACACACACACACACACACACACACAGAGTAGCTATTGTATTCACTTATACTCAGAAAATAAATAGGAATCATCTGCTCCCATCTATCTACTTAAGGAACTTGCTGAGACCCTGAAACCTGGGGAACTCACATGGCCAACAGTAGTGAGGCAGAGAGGAAAAACAGATTTCCCCAGCAGGAAATGGCCCAAATAGAAGAAATTCCAGTCTTTGGACCCTGCTTAGACAACAGTCGGGTAGAAAGTTTATCGTTAAACTCTCAAGCTCTTTTGCCATTTAATGTACGAATGTGCTAGGTCATTGTGCTATGACTCAAAGGGGGTTAATGTTTTTCAGAAAACATTCAGAAAGCCTTTGAACAATTGCTCCTCGGGCAGGTTTGGCTGCAGGATGAATGCCACTATCACCATCCAGATGCTTTACACACACTCTCTTCCTTTAAAAAAGTTCAACCCTTGATGTTTTACGGTTGTTACTCGGTAGTAGAGCCAAGGCTACTTTATTTCCCAAGCTGAAACTCCAAAAACACTGACACACATTCTCTTGTCTGGGTTATGAAATTTCTGTGGCCTTCAAAAGCCCGTTAAGGGGTTGTCAACTCAAAAGACAGAGAAGAGCCCTTAGAAGTTCCATCCGGTGCTGCCTGGTCACATACTAGGAATCTGACCCTCAGAGAAATGTCCTAGTTTGGGAAGAAACACAAGGCTGAACTGGATGGCCCCAGATCCCTCCAGCTTATTCTTTAAGGGCAGACAACGTACAGGTGTGTGATGGAGTCAACACATAAAATATCTTACTGTGTTCATTAAATAAGTGTGGGTGTTAAAATATAAAGCTACAATTTTATTTCAATTTGTCATTCGGCACATGCAAACCCTCCTGATGGCCCCTCTTCAGTTATTCAGCCAAACAGGAAAACTATGAGCAACTTCTGCCAGGATCTGAGTTCAGAGGTAGACAAAGGAGAATAACAGATAATTAGACAGTCCGGCATAGCAAAGCTACAGCCCCTTTCTGCTGACTCCCTGCTGTTCTGACACACTTTCCATGGTTGTTTTGACCGGGGAAGAAATCAACAATAACAAAAGCCCATCCCTTTGCATGACTTCTCCTTTTTTTTCTTTTAAAATAGTCTATTTATTCTTATTTTATGTGCATTGGTGCTCTGCCAGTATATATGTCTGTGTGAGAGTGTCAGATCTTGGAGTTACAAACAGTTGTGAGCTGCGATGTGGGCTCTGGGAATTGAACCCATGTCCTTTGGAAGATCAGTCAGTGTTCTTAAACCATTGAGCCATCTCTCCAGCCCTGCATGACTGTTTCTTGATTGACTTCCATCAGGCAGCTTTAAAAGCTCTATCCATCTTTCTTCTTGTGCATGCCGGAGATGAGACCAGAGCCTTGCACATGCTAGGCAGGCACTCCATATTGAGTTACATCCCTGCCCTCTGTGCTTTCTCCAACTTTGCTGTAACTATACTACTGATACTTTTTTTTAAGTGCTGGGAGAAGGGTTGCCAGATAAAACATAGGATGGCTTGTTAAATTTCAATCAAATAACAATAGGGGCGTTCTTACAAAGAAAAATGTATTCATTGTTCATCCCCAAATTCAAGTTCTACTGGTGACCTGTCTGTTTGCTGGCACTGGCAGCCCTTCGGGGGAGGGAACTGGCTCAGAGGAATAAGCCTGACCCCTGACTCTCCTTATTTGAAAGGCTAGCCTCTCTCTCTCTCTCTCTCTCTCTCTCTCTCTGTGTGTGTGTGTGTGTGTGTGTGTGTGCATCTGTGTGTCTGTGTGTGCATCTGTGTGTCTGTGTGTGCATCTGTGTGTCTGTGTGTCTCTGTGTTTTGGTGTGTATGTGTGTCTCTGTGTTTGCGTATTTTTGTGTGTGTAATTCTGTGTGTATGTGCATCTGTGTGTCTGCCTGTGTGTGTCTGTGTGTGTGTTTGTGGCTGTGTGTCTCTGTGTGTGTTTGTGTATCTGTGTGTATGTCTGTGTGTTTTTGTGTCTCTGTGTGTGTTTGTCCATGTGTGTTTGTGTATGTCTGTGTGTTTATGTATCTGTTTGTGTTTGTGTTTGTGTGTATGTGTGTGTGTAGCTATGTGAACCTGATAACTTCCTCTTTTCTGTGTCCTGGAGTATTCTCCGAGGTGACCAGAGGGACAGCACAGGCTGCCCCAGTTCTGGAGAACAGATTTAGTGCCTTTTATATTCAAATTCTGTTTTGGATAACTTTGGCTGGAGTTTTAACCCTCAGAATAGTTTTTACTCAAAAGCACTTTCTTTGCACAAGGTACATGGATTGCCGCCTGTTTTCCACTGGGAGGTGTGAGCCCCACCAGAGCAGGTGGGACTTGCTGCATTGAGCAGACACTGTGACTTATCTTCCTTTCCTGTATTGTTCCCAGCACCTGTGCCAAGCAAGACAGCATGGTTATGGTTTTACAGTCCCCACTGTTGTGACAAAATGCTCACCACGGATTCAGGGGGCAGGAAGTCATGGCAGAGAGGCTCAGTTGTCGGGGAAGGGTACATAGAGTGGCTCGTGACAGCCAGTCAGGGAAGCAGACCTAGACTAGATCTTCAAGTGGCTGTAACCTTCAAAGGGCTCCTAGCGGACTGTCTGTCAAGCAGTCGTCACATCCCCGCTCCAAAGCAGCAGCCCCAGATGGGGACCAGACATTCAAGCAAGGGAAAACTCTGAGAGAATGCAGCTATTCTTGGAGGTGAAAATACAATTGTTTACAGGGATGGACACTTGGGGAAAAAAATCCAAAGACTTTTTTCTGTGAGTGAAAAAGGAGGACATGAGCAGAGAGAAGGCAACCCTTAGAATGTGAATCCGGGTAACAAGAAAACAGATTCAGAAGCGTGGAGTCCCCCGAGCTATTGAGCAATGGGTCTGTTCTGGCCCCCATTTCCAGGCAAGACCCTTAGAATTTGTCCTGTGAAATTGGGGACATTTTAATCCAAGACTCTAAAACATAGCACTACTATGTAAAAGACTTGGGTTACTATCCATTACAATGACAAAGCACCTGAAAAAAGTAAATGAAACAGGGAAGTTGGCTTTGGCTCCTTAGTCCACAGTCTGTTGGTTCTGTTGCCTCCGGGCCTTTGTGCGGTGAGACGGAACACCATGGCAGAGATGGAATGCGTGGTGGAAGGAAGTGGCTCATTCCACGATGCACAGGAGGCAGAGACAGACATGCCTCCACTGGCCGGCTTCCTCTTGTTCCGTTCAGGCCTCCATCCGCATGCACGGCGCTAGCCCTATTCAGAGCAGGTTTTCCCTCCTCAATATGTCCCATATGCCAGTCATCCCAGGAAACGCCCATGCCAACACACCCAAATTCCCTAACCTCCCGGGAGTCTCTCAATCCAATCAAGCTAATATAATAAGACTTACCAGGGCTGGACAGCCGAGTTGTCAGGTCCCCACAGGTGTCCCCAAGACAGAGGAAAGACCTGAACTTCCCTGCCTAGTTTCTCTCTCTCTCTCTCTCTCTCTCTCTCTCTCTCTCTCTCTTTTCGAGGCAGGGTTTCTCTGTGTAGCTTTGGAAACCAGGCTGGCCTCGAACTCACAGAGTTCTGGGATTAAAGGTGTGCACCACCACGTCTTGGCTTCGTTTGTTTCTTTTAGTTTAGTTTTGTTTGTATTTTTGAGGCAGGGTCTCACGTAGCACAGGCTGGCCTAGAACTCCATATATAATGGAGGATGACGTCCTGTGCCTGTCCCTCCCTAGTGCTCGGCTATCAAGATTAATGAAATGTTCACCAAGGCAAAAACCCTGAACTGAATTAGAGAAGGAGGTTGGGGGGAGGCACCTGGCACGAATCCTGCTTTAACCCGCAGAGTGTCCTATGATTTCTCAGGTCCTCAGCACAGTGGTGGATGCTCCGCCTGGACAGCGGCAGAAGTGGGCCATGAACAGTTTTAAAAGCCTCGGCAGGTCAGGGTAACCCGGCTGGTCTACCTTGAGTCCCACACTTCCATTACATTTTAGTGACCGCAGACTGGAAGCACACACAAGAAGGGTATTCTTTGTCACCTGCAGTGTGACCCATGCTTGTATCCCTTCCCTTTCTGGCTGGACAGGCAGTCTGTGCCAATTGCTTTCTCCTCCTATTGCTTTATAAAGGTCTAATTTAAAGTAATGGATATGGACGATTCCAGTTAAGCCACTGGCCTCAAGAACAGGAGGCAGAGGCTAGAGCAAAGCTGGGTAGTTAAGAGCACTGGTTACTCTTCTAGAAGACCCAGGTTTGATTCCCAGCCTCCACATGGTGGCTCACAACCACCTGTAATTCCAGGTCCAACGCCCCCTCCTGGCCTTCTTGGGTACCGGGCGTACCCATGGTACACACACACACACACACACACACACACACACACTCAGGCAACGCATCCACACACATAAGATAAAAAAATCTAATGGGAGGTGGGAGAATCCTTTCTTACCAAATGTTAAAAGAGCCAGGTGTGATGGTTAACATTGCCCGTCAGCAACTCCTACAGCAATTCACAGAAGCCATGAACCAAGAATGGGTTAAACTAAGTTTTCCTCAGTCCTGTCTCATAGGCTCCATCTACCCTATCACTTAACATCTCACAACAGGGATCAAAGCTCACCACTCTGCTCATTTTAGTGTGTGCATTCAAACCATCGCATGATGCTACCCCTAAACCAAGACTCTATTGTGAAACTGTTTCTCAGCCTGAGAAGCCTTTCTCTGCTTGACCAAGTAGGCAGGAACCCTTTGCAGAAACAAACACCTTATTGTTCATTTCACAAGATTCATTGCAGAAAGCAGGGAGAAGCTCAGGCCTCAAGGGAACCAGCTGGAAGCTTCTGGTGGGCTTTTCCCTTTCTTCTGACATTTATTTATTTCCTTATTTCCTTATTTAAGGGGATGGGGAACCATGTGCCAGAGCACGAGTTCGGAGGGCAAGTTGAGAGAATCACTTTCCACTATGTGTGTTCCAGGGGTTGAACTTGGTCAATGGGCTTGGTAGTAAACACCTAGAAAGGCATGGGAAATTAAGGGGACATGGAAGACAGGAGCAGTGTCTCACCAGAGTCTAGCTAAAGTCCAACACCCAGGAGTCAAGAACCAGCACAATTGAAATGGTTATGAAGGCTCCTTACACAAAGACAATAAATACCTCCTTTTAAAATATAGAGATATTTTATTTTATTAATTCTTTATTTAAAAACTTTATGCAATATATTTTGATCATCTATTCCCCTCCTCCAATTCCTCCAAGATCTCTCCACCTCCCTGCCCAACCAGCTTTATGTTCTTTCTCTCTCTTTCAAAAAAGAAAAGCCCCCAAACAAGAAACAAAAACAAAAAGCAAGGAACAAGGAAGAAGCAAACAAACAAAACAACCTACAAAAGCACAAAAATGAAAATCAGAACAAACAGGCTAAAAACCAATATGACAAAGCCAAAGCTAAGCAAAACAAAAGAAAAAGTCCACAAAAATACCACTGTGTTTGCCAGCTACTCCTGGCCTGGGCGCTGCCCTGTGGCATGGTTGATATACCCAGTGACACTCCTTTGGAAAAAACAGATTTCCCCTTTATCATTGGAGACCAATTACAAATAGTTTCCTGGTTAGGGGTGGGATTTTGAGTTTACTTCTCTCTCACATTGCTGGGACCCCATCTGGCTTGAACCTGTGCAGGTCTTATACATGCTACCACAGCCACTGTGAGTTACAAAGATACATGTGTATGTGTGTGTGTGTGTGTGTGTGTGTGTGTGTATGCATTATATATAATACAAATATACTTAAATAGTGTTAAAGCTGTAATGAACCATGC